TGAAGATTATGTAATTATATCACATAACTTCACTCAAAATCCTGGTATGTTTAATGTTATCGATATGAGAAATGGTTCTTCAAATCCACTGAATTGGAATACTAGCAGGAATGGAGACTGGCACCTTGAAGCAAACACTAGCACTCTGTATTACTTGGGTATGTATTCATTAGGTAGGAGTGCTTATTTTATCTAATGCTTTGTCTAAATGATGAGAAAAATTGCTTAATGGGAAAATGTGTTATACAGTGCCCTGTATACAGCAGGATTCAGTAAATGTTTGTTGAATAAAAGGACTGGAAACTCAACTTATGCTGGAAAAGGTCTTGAGTTGAATTAATAAACTTACATTATGTTTTGAGATAACACCAACCTGTTTACACATAGTCCTAATAGTTTTATTTCACAGAATTGAAGAAAATGAGTACAATGGAATCTAGAATATATTTTGTTTGCATTTTTATCATTTAATTATTTTTGGGAAATAAAAATATTTAAGAGTAAACTTTAACTAAATTCTAAAATATTCATATTTATCAAGATATTTTGACTATGTGCTTATTTTTCTATTTCTTAAATTTGTTGTACATATCTATGGAGTACAGCATTGAATATCCAAACCTGTGTGCAATGTGTGATGCTCAAAACAGGATAATTAGTATATTCAACATTATACAATGCAATCATTTTTCATAGACATTTTCCAATTTCTCACTACCTTCCCCTTCCCTGTTTCCCACCTCTGGTGGCCTCAGTTCTGTTCTTTTCTTTTGAAAGTTCAATGTATTATTGTGATTGTTGTATCTTTCTTTCTTTTTTATTGATTTGTTCATTTATTTTTTAGCTCCCACTTATGAGTAAGGACATGCGGTATTTCTCTTTCTGTACCTAGCTTATTGCAGTTAACATAATTTTCTCTAAGTTCATCCATGTTGCTGCAAATGGCAGAATTTTATTCTTTTTTTATGGCAGAATAGTATTCCATTGTGTATATAAACCACATTTTCCTTATCCAGTTATTCATGGATAGACATTTATGGTGGTTTCAATTCCTGGCCATTGTAAATTGAGATGCAATAAACAAGAGTGCATAGATCCCTTGACATGATGATTTCCATTCCTTTGGGTATATACCCAGCAGTGGGATTACTGGATCATGTGGTAGTTCTATCTGTAGTTGTCTGAGGAGCTTCATTACTGTCTGCCATAATGGCTGCACTAATTTACAGTCCCACCAACAGTGTAGGAGGGTTCCCCTTTCTCTGCATCCTTGCCAGCATTTGTTATTCTTTGTCTTCTTGATAATGACCAGTCTAACTGGTGTGAGATATCTCAATGTGGTTTTGATTTATTTGCATTTCCCTGATGCTGAGTGATATGCATTTTTTCATGTGTTTGTGGGCCATTTGTATGTCTTCTTTTCAGAAAAGCCTACTTAGCTTCTTTGCCCATTTTTTAATTGGGTTACTTTTTTTTACTGTTAAGTTGTTTGAGTTCCTCGTATATTCTGGATATAATCCCTTGCCAGATTCATAGTTTGCATATATTTTCAACCATTCTATAGGCTGTCTTTTCTCTCCATTAATGGTTTCTTTTGCTGTGTAGAGGCTTTTTAGTTTGATATAATCCCATATGCCTATTTTTTCTTTTGTTGCTGTGTCATATTCAGTGTTGGGGTTGTGTGAGTGCATCCACGGATTAGGCACTGGGGCACTTAGTGATTCCTTGCTGAGGTCAGTGACACAGTGTTTGGTTGCTGAGGACATGGGCAAGCTCTCAAGTTCTTGGGAGAAGTGCTTGGGTGCCCTGTTGCTCTTTGGCTGGGTGAGTGTTCCTGGGAGGGCTTGTTGGTACCCTAGTTAGTGTCCCATGACCTTGATGGGTGCACTGGTGTATACTGGAGCTCCTCAGTTTGAATGGGTGATCCTGGGGTGGGTTTCTCTTTCGTCTTTCGTATAAGCAGAGGTTCCTCCTGCATTCTTGGTCCTCCCGGTTGGAAGATGGGTTAATGGTGTTTGGGAATTTTCCTTCTTACTCTATTTGGATATCCTGGGTTTCTACACTCTTGGGGGGATTCCATGTTTGTCTTTCCCCAGATCAAGGCAGTCGTGTGGGCTGCACATGTACCTCCCACCCCCAAGGGTGCTACTGCCTGTGGCAGGGTAATTCCCCCTGTGGGTTGGGCCACTGGGTCATGGATCTGTGCTTGCTCACCTCTTTCCCCAGTCTCTACTAGTGACTCTCCTTGTGTCAATGAAGTTGAGTGTTTGGTGGGCCACCTACATGGTGGCCAGTGGCTGTGGCTGCTGCTGTAGTAGCGTACTGACCTTACCATGGCAGTGGCTATGGCAGTGGCTATGCTGGACCACCCACATGGAAGTGGTGTCTGCAGTAGTGGGGGGGGGGGCTGTGGGGGCTGCTCACAGCAGCTCCTGAGGTCCCTTGGCATGCTCCTGCCATCTGCTAACTGAGCTTCTTAATGACATACATTTTTGATGATTTCTCCATGCTTATTCCATACATTTGAATGATACCAAGTTGTTGTCTGAAGAATAATATTTTCCAAAATGCCATGATTCTGTTTACATTCAAGTACTTTGATCATCATATTAATTTAAATTACTTTTACTTCATTTTCAGTTTCAGGAAGAAATGACCTTCATGAGAGCCAGCCCATTTCTCAGACCCTGGATCCTGACGTGAAAGATGTTGTTATTAATTTCCAAGCTTACTGTTGTATCCTTCAGGATTGCTTTCCTGTACATCCCCCATCAAGAACAATTCCCAGGAAGCGGCCAGCCATATATAAGTATATGGGCCTTTTGTACTCAATACCCCTCAATATCTCTTGACATAATTATTTTCTTATGTCACTCTTCACTGAGATCACCATGCCTTCCTCCTGCACAAGGTCTTTAGGTCACAAAGTACTTCTACGCTTATTGCTTTGCTCCAGCCTTAAAACCACCCCAATGAGAAAATGGAAAAACCTCACAAAAATGATGTATGAAAGTTACTGGTAATCACACACTTACAGAATGTTAGGCTAGATGATTAAATCTGGACCAACTCCCTTACTGGATAGGTCAGACAGCTGAAGTCCAGTGACCATAAGTGAATTACCTGAAATCACAGAATTTATTGATGGCACATCCAGTACAGCACCAGAAACTGTCTCCTCATTAATCCAATGCTTTCTTAACAGAGGGTATTGCTTCCTCTAGAATAACCATCATGGTCAAATCTCATAATACAACTTATTTAATTTTATTTCAAATATTTAATTTCTAAATATATTTTAATTCTTCTGGTTAAAAAATAATGTTTCTATCTTTGTAACTTAGGGAGCTTTTTACCTTTATTTCTAATGTGAAACATCACTTTTTACCTTGTATTACAGAATCACCTACATAATGGTACTAGTACATTTTGGTACTAGTTTTTAAGACCCTTACAAGCATGATCCTGATCTGGTGTATATTTGTGTTCCTTATGCACAAATAATAATGATAAAATGGTGATGGTGGTGATAAAAACTAATGTTTAAAGGACACTTAATAGCCCACTATGGTGCATCAAGTACAATTCATGATATATATTAGGTGAATTACATTTCAAAATAAATAGATGCTGCAGTGGCTATTGTGTAAAGAAATAGTAGTTGAATTTGTTGATATATTTATTAAACCATTAAAGAAATTTGCTGAGCACCCACTGTGTGCCAGGCACGGGGGGTTCAATCATGACTAACATAACTGTGATCCCTGACTTCACCACACTCACATTCTGTCCAAAGAGACAGACCGCAAAACAGGCAAATAAACAAACAAAAATAGCAAACAGAAAATAAAGCATGTAAGTGTGCATTGTGATAAATATTATAAAGGAATAGTTTTGGGGCTGCAACAGAGAACATGGCAGAGACTGCATTTAAGTGCTGTGGTTTGGAGCAACCTCTCAGAGGAAGGGTCATTCTAGATGCAACCCCCAAAATGGGGAAGAACATGTGAAAGGCAGGAGAGGGGCATTTGAGAGCAAGGGAGTAATTTGTGCAGAGGCCCTGACACAGGCAGAGTGTGACATATCTAAAAACTGAGAGAATATCATTATGGCTGGACCCTAATGAGCAGGGAAGAGTGGCCCGGAGATGGTGTTGGAAACAGAACATGTAGATACTGCAGGATCTAAATACGGGAAACCTTTGAACTGTTGTAAGCTGGGAAGTGACATACTCCAAATTATATTTCAGAAAGACCACTTTTACTATTCTGTGAGGTCTGTGTTACAAAGGAACAGTAAAGAAAGGGAAGCTCATGAAAAGGCCATAGAGAGCTTTATAAGAGATATGGGCCGTCAAGCTTATTGACCAAAAAGCCCTTATACCTTCTAAAATAGATATAATTATTAAATATTTAATTAACTGTTATTATGACTAGCAAAGCAGATTTAGATTGGTCTAGGTCAGGATGTGATAAAGGTATATGATAATATGCTACATGTATATGTCATGGTATAGTTTCCTCCCCCTGTCCCCACCGCCCCCACAGTATGAGTTTTCCTCACTGGAAGTAGCTATAATTAGATTGATTAATTTGTATGATTCAAATAGCTATCAACCAAACAAATAGAATCTTGATCCAGAACTGGTACCTCAGAATTAGATGATAAAGCTCCAGATACGCAACACAAATGTTTAGTTTAAGAAGGATTGGTCTTTATTGATCATAACAGTGGGAAATAAGAAGAATGCATAATGTGCATAGTGATCGTGATAGTGCTCGTAGGATTAGGAATGAAGGACTATTAATATAGAGAAAAGCTAGATAAAATCAAGTATCGAATATGGGCAATGCTGGTCAGATTATTTAGATAGATAGATAAAGTCCTTTTAAAAATCTTCATTGAAATCGTTTCAGGAAACATCATCGTAGGATTAGGAATGAAGGACTATTAATATAGAGAAAAGCTAGATAAAATCAAGTATCGAATATGAGCAATGCTGGTCAGATTTTTAGATAGATAGATAAAGTCCTTTTAAAAATCTTCATTGAAATCGTTTCAGGAAACATCATGTGTTAATGTGAGTCTAAACTCAATTTAACCACTAGCCTCATTTTAAAACCCATTAAGGCAATTTTTTTAATAACAGGATTTTTGATCAACAGGTTTCTTAGTACTAGAAATTAAGTAATACAAATGTGTGATAAAAATATACATTTTAACCAAACAAACTGTATATTGGCCCTTTTGTAGAATTACAGGATTACTATCACAGAATTTTTGGGGTTTTTTTTTGCCTCTGATTGTGAATATTTTTCAATAGGAAAATATCAACTTTATAATAGTATCCTTTACAACAATTTGCATTGAGGTAGTTTCTAGAAAGCATATTGATGAAAAGTGGAGACTCTCTGTCCTTCAATGCATTTTTCATATTTATTTCAATTTAATATAGCCTTTACTCTGGATACAGACCTCCCACTCCCACCCTAGCCCGAGGGCTTAACCTTATTGATTCATCTTGCCAATTCAGACCATTCTTCCTGCCCCACCCTTCACAGAACATCACCAACCATTCTCCACCCACTTTCCTCATGCAGGGCTTAACCTTATTGATTCATCTTGCCAATTCAGAGATCATTCTTCCTGCCCCACCCTTCACAGAACATCACCAACCATTCTCCACCCACTTTCCTCATGAAATAGCACCAGGTATCAAGGGCTTTTAAATGGACAACCATGCATTTCTTTTCACTTTTCCACCATGCAAAATCTTACAAGGATATTGAATAATTTAGACGAAATTAGGGTATATCACAACAAGGATTTAGTGAAAGAAAAAGTGATTCAAATTGTGGATGGAAAGGAAATTTTCTTGAATGAAAAAAAAAAAACAATATATGTACTTTGTGTGTGTTGAGTATTTTACTACCTGTACATATTAGCTTGTTTATTTAATGAAATTATAAAGTATTTAATTTGAATTCTGTTATCCCCAAAACATCTAGTATAATGCAAACACCCTAAGGAGATGGTCATTAAATATATAGAGATAATAATTAATGGAAATACTTCTCTTTTCAGTTTATGGTCAAATGATTCTTTTTGGCAATCATCTCGAGAAAATAATTATACCATACCTCACCCAGGAGCAAATGTTATTATTCCTGAAGGTAAATATACAAACATAAATGAATACAATGCTTGTGTTTATATGACATTAATGCTGTGACAGGATAGATGTCACAGTAGTTAGGTTTCCACCTTTGTGCAGAGCAAATGTGAAGAGATGGGTTCTATTATTGCATCCTGGACATTAAACTTAGCCTTCTGAGTTTCATGTGGATTTAAACCTGGCTATTAACAATCACAGATTTCCTGGGAGAGACAGAAATCAATCATTCTGTGGAAAGATGGGTCATAAACTTCAAACCCAGGACTCACTGATAAGCTTGTCAGTGTTTTGTCATAGGCTGTAATCTGTGGATTATGTTATATTTCTTAAAGTGTTGTTTTATAGGAACATGGATTGTAGCTGACACAGATATGCCACCAATGGAAAGGCTTATTATTTGGGGGGTTCTAGAACTGGAAGATAAATATGATGTGGGAGCTGCAGAGTCTTCTTACAGAAAAGTTGTTTTGAATGCTACCTACATATCACTGCAGGTAAGAATGAGGGTCTTGTAATTTATATCCTTATTAATCAAATTCCAAAATGTAGATTTACTGAAATAATAATTAAAAAGCATACTCAATGGGTATGAATAAAAAACACAGCTGGCTCTAGTCCATGAAATGTGAGCCTCGTGTATGTCCAATATGTTTCTGATCTCCTTTAGATTGTGGACTAAACATCCCTTAAGGAGTAATTATCATGGTTCTCTTGACTGTGAGGTTTTCCCAGTTTTAATTCTATATTACACATTTGTATCATTGTTAGGTAAAGCTAAACTAACAGCTTGCTCTAACAGAATTCCTGAGAGTTCTGGAAAAAAATTTTAAAATGTAAGCTTCTTTTTAAAAAACAAACAATTTTTTAAAACAAATGGACATAGATGGAATTGTAAATTCCAAGAGAAGAGTAATAAAATGTGTCAGTTGTTTGGAACAATCACCTCATTCTCTCATAAGCCTCATATGGTCTTGAACATGTAACAGCTTAATCGGTTTAATTGTTCTGTCAGTCTTTTAACAATGTTCACGAAAAAGAACGGCCTAACCAAAAAGCTATTAAAGCACACTTAAAAAATAAAAAGTGGTTAGTAGCTTTTCTTGGAGAAAAGGTATAAAGTCCGTAAATTTGTTCTTTAAATGTTTTAAAGGTGCATAATATTTTGGTGAGATTTATGGGCTTTGAGGTAAATTGAAGCTACAATTGAATCCTTACCTCACTGTTTGTTAGTTGGGTAACCTTAGGTAAGTTATTTGATATCTTTCAACATCAGTTTTCTCGCCTGTGAAATAAGAATAATAATACGAATTTATGGGTATAGTGTAAAGGTTAAGTGACATAATACATGTGAAGTCTTACACGTTATACCTGACATAGAATCATCAAGTATTTAATGACAGCTATTGTTATTAATGATGATGGCTCCTAAATGGCATAGCTTGGATATAAGTGTCAAGAGTATATATTGTATATAATATAACATGTTCAGATATAGTATGGTCTATTTAAACACCACTAGTTTAGGTCTTGGAATATCTCAGTTTTAGGTCCATTTCTGACATTAAATAGACATTGAATTTGACATTAAAATCATTTAAACTACCTATCCCAAAGTGAATGGATTAAATTAAAGTCACTTCCAGTCACAATACCAGGTTTTTGTATAACAAAATTTATTTATTTTGACTAGGGGAGGCTACCAGTTACTTCTTAATTCCTTTTTTTATGGGGAAATTTTTTTCTGCTCAATGTTTAAATATTAATAATTTTCTGTTTCATTACAGGGAGGTAGATTAATTGGTGGCTGGGAAGATAATCCTTTTAAAGGAGAATTACAGATTGTTCTTAGAGGAAATCATTCTACCCCAAACTGGGCTCTTCCAGAAGGACCAAATCAAGGAGCAAAGGTCTTAGGTATGTGTCTCCAGATACCAAAAGGTATCATATCAGTTTTGAGAATCTACTTTAAAATAGACAGCAATAAGTTACTTATAAGTTCATGACGTCATGATGTTAGGATATCAGAAGCTTTTACAGACATTGATTTGTAGTAAAAGGTTACAAAAATAGCAGAGTTTTTAAAAATTAAATCACGTCACATTATACCATGTAGAAATAGATATAGACATGTATTTTTTTTTTTCCTTTTGTCTTTCCTTTTTGTCTGCACCTCGCTCAGCCAGTGAGCGGGAACCGGTCTGTATGTGGGATCCGAACCCTCGTTTATTTCAAAAGTAACACTTAAACAACATGAAGCAGTATCGAGAAAAAGTATTAAGAACAAATATATCTTTCCAATTCCCTCCCCCTTTAGGAAACTAGCATTAGTTAATTTTTTATCCATGCCTATACTTATATTACGTATACTGATTTGTGGTGACAGTATTATTCCTTTTATAAAAACATGGTCCAACTAAATATACTATTATGCAATTTCCTGTTTTCGGCTAACATATTATGGACATCTTTCCAGATCAATACTTACAAATCAAATTCCTCGTTTTTTTTTTTTTGACCACCCCGCAACCCTCGTCACGGTGTTGTCCGCACCGCGCTCAGCCAGTGAGTGCACTACCATCCCTATATCAGATCCGAACCCGCAGCCTCGGCGCTACCAGCGCCACACTCTCCCGAGTGAGCCATGGGGCCGGCTCAAATTCCTCCTTTTTATAGCATATTACTCTACTATATTAACATATTAAAATTTATTCTATCATTCCCCTATTAATGTATATTTGGATTAATTCTGTTTTTTTAATTTTTCAAAATATTGCTGTGGTAAATATTCTCATATATGTATCCTTATGTACTGACTTAAATTTCTGTGGACAAGTTTTCTAGATGTAGGACAAAAGGTCAGACTTCTTACACCGCCCTGAACACATAACCTCAATTCATTCTATTTATTCTAAAATGTTCAATTTCTTGTTAAAATATATTAAGGAACAGTTTCATTTTATACCTAACTCAGTACTGCGTAGTGAATAAATAGGAATGTGTTTTTGTCCTTCAGGAGTGTTTGGTGAGCTGGATCTTCATGGAATTCCACGTTCAGTTTATAAAACTAAACTCTCAGAAACTGCAGAGGCAGGTTCCAAAGTCCTGTCTCTGGTGGATGCTGTGGATTGGCAGGTAGAGAAAATATTATGTGGTGGAAAATGAATATATACAGTGGGTCAACTTAGCAAAGGTTATTTTCTCACTGGAATTTATTTTCTCATGTGATTGACCAGATGAGAAGTGTGTACTTTACAATTAGCTTGCAAAACCTGACCTGGTAACAGGCATTTAAAAATTGTGGTCTCAAAGGTCCTTCAGAATATATAAAGACCATTATGCATATATTAGTTATGAAAGAAAAATATGAAAAATTTTGGTTAAAAATATTCATTATAAATTCTTGCAAAACAGAAAATGTTATTATATTAAGTACTTTTTATTGTTATCTTGGTTACCTCTTCACTTCTAATTTGTGATTTTACATGTTAAGAATTTGGAAAGAAAACAAATACTGATGCCTAATGATACTCAAATTACTCTTGTGTTAAATGAGAGAGAGATTTTGGTCCAATATAAATGGTGGCAATTTCCATCTCTACTGCTCTCATAAGCTATATGAAAGCCATAGGGTCCACATCTTTTACAAACACTCTTTTTAATGCCAAAGGATCAAAGACATGGGTGGATTCTGTTTCCCACTCTTAGATCTCAGCCACTTTCCTTCTGGTGAGAACAAGCTTTAGAATCACAGAACAAAGAGAAACTTAGTCTGAGCAAATCAATACAAATCATCAAANATTTATTTCAATTTAATATAGCCTTTACTCTGGATACAGACCTCCCACTCCCACCCTAGCCCGAGGGCTTAACCTTATTGATTCATCTTGCCAATTCAGACCATTCTTCCTGCCCCACCCTTCACAGAACATCACCAACCATTCTCCACCCACTTTCCTCATGAAATAGCACCAGGTATCAAGGGCTTTTAAATGGACAACCATGCATTTCTTTTCACTTTTCCACCATGCAAAATCTTACAAGGATATTGAATAATTTAGACGAAATTAGGGTATATCACAACAAGGATTTAGTGAAAGAAAAAGTGATTCAAATTGTGGATGGAAAGGAAATTTTCTTGAATGAAAAAAAAAAAACAATATATGTACTTTGTGTGTGTTGAGTATTTTACTACCTGTACATATTAGCTTGTTTATTTAATGAAATTATAAAGTATTTAATTTGAATTCTGTTATCCCCAAAACATCTAGTATAATGCAAACACCCTAAGGAGATGGTCATTAAATATATAGAGATAATAATTAATGGAAATACTTCTCTTTTCAGTTTATGGTCAAATGATTCTTTTTGGCAATCATCTCGAGAAAATAATTATACCATACCTCACCCAGGAGCAAATGTTATTATTCCTGAAGGTAAATATACAAACATAAATGAATACAATGCTTGTGTTTATATGACATTAATGCTGTGACAGGATAGATGTCACAGTAGTTAGGTTTCCACCTTTGTGCAGAGCAAATGTGAAGAGATGGGTTCTATTATTGCATCCTGGACATTAAACTTAGCCTTCTGAGTTTCATGTGGATTTAAACCTGGCTATTAACAATCACAGATTTCCTGGGAGAGACAGAAATCAATCATTCTGTGGAAAGATGGGTCATAAACTTCAAACCCAGGACTCACTGATAAGCTTGTCAGTGTTTTGTCATAGGCTGTAATCTGTGGATTATGTTATATTTCTTAAAGTGTTGTTTTATAGGAACATGGATTGTAGCTGACACAGATATGCCACCAATGGAAAGGCTTATTATTTGGGGGGTTCTAGAACTGGAAGATAAATATGATGTGGGAGCTGCAGAGTCTTCTTACAGAAAAGTTGTTTTGAATGCTACCTACATATCACTGCAGGTAAGAATGAGGGTCTTGTAATTTATATCCTTATTAATCAAATTCCAAAATGTAGATTTACTGAAATAATAATTAAAAAGCATACTCAATGGGTATGAATAAAAAACACAGCTGGCTCTAGTCCATGAAATGTGAGCCTCGTGTATGTCCAATATGTTTCTGATCTCCTTTAGATTGTGGACTAAACATCCCTTAAGGAGTAATTATCATGGTTCTCTTGACTGTGAGGTTTTCCCAGTTTTAATTCTATATTACACATTTGTATCATTGTTAGGTAAAGCTAAACTAACAGCTTGCTCTAACAGAATTCCTGAGAGTTCTGGAAAAAAATTTTAAAATGTAAGCTTCTTTTTAAAAAACAAACAATTTTTTAAAACAAATGGACATAGATGGAATTGTAAATTCCAAGAGAAGAGTAATAAAATGTGTCAGTTGTTTGGAACAATCACCTCATTCTCTCATAAGCCTCATATGGTCTTGAACATGTAACAGCTTAATCGGTTTAATTGTTCTGTCAGTCTTTTAACAATGTTCACGAAAAAGAACGGCCTAACCAAAAAGCTATTAAAGCACACTTAAAAAATAAAAAGTGGTTAGTAGCTTTTCTTGGAGAAAAGGTATAAAGTCCGTAAATTTGTTCTTTAAATGTTTTAAAGGTGCATAATATTTTGGTGAGATTTATGGGCTTTGAGGTAAATTGAAGCTACAATTGAATCCTTACCTCACTGTTTGTTAGTTGGGTAACCTTAGGTAAGTTATTTGATATCTTTCAACATCAGTTTTCTCGCCTGTGAAATAAGAATAATAATACGAATTTATGGGTATAGTGTAAAGGTTAAGTGACATAATACATGTGAAGTCTTACACGTTATACCTGACATAGAATCATCAAGTATTTAATGACAGCTATTGTTATTAATGATGATGGCTCCTAAATGGCATAGCTTGGATATAAGTGTCAAGAGTATATATTGTATATAATATAACATGTTCAGATATAGTATGGTCTATTTAAACACCACTAGTTTAGGTCTTGGAATATCTCAGTTTTAGGTCCATTTCTGACATTAAATAGACATTGAATTTGACATTAAAATCATTTAAACTACCTATCCCAAAGTGAATGGATTAAATTAAAGTCACTTCCAGTCACAATACCAGGTTTTTGTATAACAAAATTTATTTATTTTGACTAGGGGAGGCTACCAGTTACTTCTTAATTCCTTTTTTTATGGGGAAATTTTTTTCTGCTCAATGTTTAAATATTAATAATTTTCTGTTTCATTACAGGGAGGTAGATTAATTGGTGGCTGGGAAGATAATCCTTTTAAAGGAGAATTACAGATTGTTCTTAGAGGAAATCATTCTACCCCAAACTGGGCTCTTCCAGAAGGACCAAATCAAGGAGCAAAGGTCTTAGGTATGTGTCTCCAGATACCAAAAGGTATCATATCAGTTTTGAGAATCTACTTTAAAATAGACAGCAATAAGTTACTTATAAGTTCATGACGTCATGATGTTAGGATATCAGAAGCTTTTACAGACATTGATTTGTAGTAAAAGGTTACAAAAATAGCAGAGTTTTTAAAAATTAAATCACGTCACATTATACCATGTAGAAATAGATATAGACATGTATTTTTTTTTTTCCTTTTGTCTTTCCTTTTTGTCTGCACCTCGCTCAGCCAGTGAGCGGGAACCGGTCTGTATGTGGGATCCGAACCCTCGGCGGGAGCGCCGTCACCCTCCCAAGTGGTGCACTGTAGCAGTGCGCCCCCGGGCCGGCCCTAGACATGTATTTTTTTTTTTCCTTTTGTCTTTCCTTTTTGTCTGCCCCTCGCTCAGCCAGTGAGCGGGAACCGGTCTGTATGTGGGATCCGAACCCTCGGCGGGAGCGCCGTCACACTCCCAAGTGGTGCACTGTAGCAGTGCGCCACCGGGCCGGCCCTAGACATGTATTTTTTAAAACCAAAATGTAATTTGTTACAAAGCTAACATTAACAAGTTTTCCAAATATATATTATTTCTCCAGTCTGGTTTTCTTTATAGTCTTTCCTTTATCTAAGCAATAATAGTCTTCATATTTTAGTGCTTTCCCCCTAGAAGGTAACTTTCGTACACATTACTCCATTTACAGTATTAATGAATAATTTGTGGATCTGCTGACTCTGATGTCAGTTTTCCATCACACCTGCTGCTGAGCTTTAATTTCTCATTTTCATTGGTATACTGTGCATACTCCTATTTGAGCCCTATAAGCAAAGAACCCGAAAAGGTCTAATTTAGTCACAATTAATAACTGCTTTTATTAATGCTACTGCATATTTATTTAGGATATACATGTGAGCAGCTGCTGCGATTGCTCTGCTGTACAATTTCTAAAAATGACACCCAGTAAATAAGGGTATCAAAAAAATGGCTTGAGATTGAATTAGTGAACTCACCACTGACAAATGTCCTGAGGCAGAAAAATTCAATTTAAAAAAATATGTATTTGCTTTCATGTGCTTATTTTTATTTCAAAAGTAACACTTAAACAACATGAAGCAGTATCGAGAAAAAGTATTAAGAACAAATATATCTTTCCAATTCCCTCCCCCTTTAGGAAACTAGCATTAGTTAATTTTTTATCCATGCCTATACTTATATTACGTATACTGATTTGTGGTGACAGTATTATTCCTTTTATAAAAACATGGTCCAACTAAATATACTATTATGCAATTTCCTGTTTTCGGCTAACATATTATGGACATCTTTCCAGATCAATACTTACAAATCAAATTCCTCGTTTTTTTTTTTTTGACCACCCCGCAACCCTCGTCACGGTGTTGTCCGCACCGCGCTCAGCCAGTGAGTGCACTACCATCCCTATATCAGATCCGAACCCGCAGCCTCGGCGCTACCAGCGCCACACTCTCCCGAGTGAGCCATGGGGCCGGCTCAAATTCCTCCTTTTTATAGCATATTACTCTACTATATTAACATATTAAAATTTATTCTATCATTCCCCTATTAATGTATATTTGGATTAATTCTGTTTTTTTAATTTTTCAAAATATTGCTGTGGTAAATATTCTCATATATGTATCCTTATGTACTGACTTAAATTTCTGTGGACAAGTTTTCTAGATGTAGGACAAAAGGTCAGACTTCTTACACCGCCCTGAACACATAACCTCAATTCATTCTATTTATTCTAAAATGTTCAATTTCTTGTTAAAATATATTAAGGAACAGTTTCATTTTATACCTAACTCAGTACTGCGTAGTGAATAAATAGGAATGTGTTTTTGTCCTTCAGGAGTGTTTGGTGAGCTGGATCTTCATGGAATTCCACGTTCAGTTTATAAAACTAAACTCTCAGAAACTGCAGAGGCAGGTTCCAAAGTCCTGTCTCTGGTGGATGCTGTGGATTGGCAGGTAGAGAAAATATTATGTGGTGGAAAATGAATATATACAGTGGGTCAACTTAGCAAAGGTTATTTTCTCACTGGAATTTATTTTCTCATGTGATTGACCAGATGAGAAGTGTGTACTTTACAATTAGCTTGCAAAACCTGACCTGGTAACAGGCATTTAAAAATTGTGGTCTCAAAGGTCCTTCAGAATATATAAAGACCATTATGCATATATTAGTTATGAAAGAAAAATATGAAAAATTTTGGTTAAAAATATTCATTATAAATTCTTGCAAAACAGAAAATGTTATTATATTAAGTACTTTTTATTGTTATCTTGGTTACCTCTTCACTTCTAATTTGTGATTTTACATGTTAAGAATTTGGAAAGAAAACAAATACTGATGCCTAATGATACTCAAATTACTCTTGTGTTAAATGAGAGAGAGATTTTGGTCCAATATAAATGGTGGCAATTTCCATCTCTACTGCTCTCATAAGCTATATGAAAGCCATAGGGTCCACATCTTTTACAAACACTCTTTTTAATGCCAAAGGATCAAAGACATGGGTGGATTCTGTTTCCCACTCTTAGATCTCAGCCACTTTCCTTCTGGTGAGAACAAGCTTTAGAATCACAGAACAAAGAGAAACTTAGTCTGAGCAAATCAATACAAATCATCAAA